TAATTTACTATTGGTTTTATTGTTCAATTAAAAAAAATTGTTGTATACTATTTAAGACACTTGACAAGGTAAAATCGTCCAGTGAACCCTTGTCTTGCTTCATCCTGTCTGTCCCTATGACTCTGTTATTTTCAAGCAAATTTCAAATAAATACGGATGGATTTTTACCTTTCATATTTTAACTTTCAGGTTTTGGTTTTATGATGGCAAGGAAGCTGTAAAGATTTCATAGAAATCGCACTTTGAATTTTGGTCTTTTCCTGAGCTGATAATCTATGATTCTGCGGAGTTCCAGTTAGCCAGACCAACACCCAATAGTCTACAGATACTGTATCACTCAGTTCAGTAGGTTAGGTATATTAAATGCATTTTAAACTGATAGAATTTCCAATGTATTCTGGATTTATAAAGAAAGGACCAATCACAATTCAAGGACACATATAATTTCCTGTCTAAATATTTGAGCCTCGTCATTTTCTATCATGCCATCATTTCCTAATAACACCTTGGTATCATTACGTAGCCCCTGTTCTCACTCATATTGCTTCTTATACATTTCAGCTTTAAACGTCATTGTCAAATGAGGAACCCCCCCAGGCACTGGAATAGTCCATGAGTCTCTCAAGTCTATTATAATTGTTACTATCTACTTTCTGTCCATCATTTTTTTCCTGCATAAATCCTTGTAATTTGTTTGCTGATAATGTAAACTATTTGTTTTTCAAGTTTTCAACAGTCTGGATTTTGTGCTTGCTTCCTTCCCCATGTGTCTCTGAAGGACTTTTGACTTCATGTTGGCTGAAAATCGATATCTAGCTAAAGACAAAATGGATTTTTGTTTCTCTTTCTTTTTTTCTGTTCTTCAGTAATGCTATTTTACAGGTACTGATAAGTTCTCTCACCAGGGGACATATGATGGCCTTGTCTTCTGTCACAGCAGCTGGTGACATTGTCTGGATCCAGCCTAGCATTAGTGTTTTAAGATATAGATGCACTACTATTCCAGTTTCATTTATTAACCACAATAATTCCATAAAAGAAGCTTTCTTCCTCATCTATCAGTCCATCATTTCTTAATTGTTTCAGATATTACATATTTCAGCATAAGCAGGAAATTTCACATCTGTTAGTGGTAGAGGTCATGTAAGAAAGATAGACTTAATGCTCTCTTCATTTACAAGTTTTCATTTTGTGAGCTGGAAAATGGTATTCTTTAAAGGGAGCAGACAGTCTAAAATACCATTCTTCATTCATGGACTTAAATGTTTAATGGTGTGTAGCACGTGTTTCAGCTGCAGCTCAGAATATTACTCAGCAGGGATGTCTCCAGTGTGTTTCTGAACCCCTCACCCAGGCCTTCATACAAGGAAGCACTCCTGTATCAGGTTTCAAGATCTTGAAGCCAGTTAAGTATTTCTGTCTCTGAGGACTCTCACATGTCCCATTTAGTGAGAAATGACATTGAGTGCCAATGGGCACTCAGGCTGCTTGTTAAAGATTGCTGATTTTTTTTTTGGTTTTATTTTGTTTTGTGAGGGATGTTCAATATCCACAAATTGAATCAAAAGTTTTTACATTTCAGATTAATAAAAATATTTCATAAACTATTTGAAATCGTGATATCTGGGGGTAAAATTTTATTTGACCAGTTCACCTAACGACTTTATCTCATGTTTTTCCTTCTGCTGAACCTCAGTTCTTGTTAGCATCAGGAACAACAGAACTAGATTATTAAATAAATGTTTATTTGCTTTGCCCCATAATATGTGATCAATACTGTTATGATAGAAATAACAATATTTCCGCCCATAATATAGTTTCTGAAGAAAGTTTTAGGTTTATTTTCTTTCTTTCTTTTTCTTCACGCTAGGTAGCAAACCCATGACTCTTTGCATCTGATCTCACTTTTAGGTTTTTTTTTTTTTTTTTTTTTGTCATCTATTTTTCCAGGGGTGTGTGGTGAAATTATTTCTTGCTGATACTTGGTGAAAATCTCCTTTGTGCAGTAACTGTGTTATTAACTGAAATAGATAATTTCATGACTTCAGTTCATGAAGTAGCTATAACATTTAAAATTATATATTAAATAAATACTTTAAATATTTCGATAGCATGATTTACTGGTTTAAGCATTAATTTCCTACTTCTGAGTATTTCCTATGTTTCCTCCTATGTGAACGCTGTTGAGTATTTTTCGTTATAATTAGTTAATATATTTTGTGGATGGGTGTTTTGCCAGCATATATGCCTGTGTGTCACGTGAGTGCCTGGTGCCTATGGAGGGCAGAAGAGGGCATCGGACCTGAAGGAACTGGTGTTACTGTGTAGGTGCTGGGAATCAAACCCAGGTCTTCTATAAGAGCAGTACATGTTCTTAGTGACTGAGCAATCCTTCCAGTTCTTAATTTTTTTTTAATTGTATGATTTGCCTTTGTTCCATTTGTTGGCACTTCTAAATTGCCTTACTTCTAACCGCATCCTTTAAATACAATGCAGGACTGGATTTTCCTTTATCACTCCACCTGAGAAGGCTGATATTTTATCTCTTTATTTTCAGTTTTCAAGAATGGCACAGGGTCTCATATGCCAGGTGCTTGCTCTGCCATACACCATATCCTAATTCCCTGAAGGCATTCAAGTCTTAATAGACATATTATCTCCATTTACATTGATGGATATGATTGATTTGGATTATATTTTAGCAGTTGTGGTTATGAGGTTTCATAGTATGGAAAGTTATCAGTTTTATTTTTATGGTGCTTTTTGTACTAATGTTTTTATATAACTTTGAGTTTTTCTCTTTTAAGTTATTATCTATTATTCTTAAAGACAGAAGACATTAAATATAATACTTAAACTTCTTGTTTTTCTCCTTTTCAGGTCACAGAGCATCTCCTTGTAATATACTTTTATTCCAATTTAACATTATAAAATAATAAAATTTCATTAGGAATTTTATCTGCTATCATCATTACCTCTGAATGGTTGCTAATTATGCTTTTTAAATAATGTCATGCTATATACTATAATACAATCCTGTCTTCCTCAAAACAACCACTAGACATGAGGTAAATAACTCAAAATAGCATCAGAAGTCCCTGAAACTGCCCAGAGTTACTAGGTCCCTCTTTCCCTAAGACTATATAAGTAGTAAAGACACACTGAGGTAGACAAGTGGCCTAGATGACTCACAGAGCAGCCAAGCAGAGACAAGACGAGCTGCCTGGAAGAAACTCAGGACAATGGGGAACCCAAGAAAGACACTCTCCAATCTGTCCAGCTACCTGTAGGCTGTGTAGTGTGTTCCAAGTTCCCAGATTTTATGTGCTGTCTTTCATGCTGGGGTGGACTTCGGTGATGCAACTGTCCTTGAGACATTTATGGTCCTGTAAGTAACCTTTCACCCATGTGTCTATAAGTAATCTCAATAAACTCAATGGCTCATAAAGTTGGTCTATGGTAATATCCATACTTTGTATTGTGCATATGTGTGTGTGCTTTTGTGAGTACAGGTGTGCGTGTGCATGTGTATGTGTATGCGCATGTGCGTGCACATATGTGTGTGTGTATGTGTGTGTGTGTGAGAGAGAGAGATATTTTCCTTCTCCTTCCCACTAGATTATGACATCATACTTAGACTCTAAAAGTAACTAAATTTACATTTGTCTATATTAGAGTCTATAAATTTTAAAATAGGTAAGAGATTGGTTTTCCAGTTGCAGTTAGATTAACGTAAATCTCTAATGTATGGTTTCATCTTACTAGAGCTTCAAGAATCTCTCAGGACAGAGAGACATTGCTTTCTATATCCTTATTATCAACAAAGTCATGGACTCAGCAAACAGAGAGCAAGTCCTGAAACTGAGTAAACCAACCAGTCTTTGGAAAGGGATATATAGATGATGAAAAAAAATGAGGTACTATTTCAGAAATCCTTTGCAGGATTTGCTGAGCAGTTTATCTTCATGCTCTAAGCAATGGGTAATGTTCATACAAATGTTTTTATGTAGATGACCATCATCCAGGGATAGAAAAAGAGGGCAACTTGGTGATAAAATGCTGGGGATGGTACAGAGAATGAAATGAAGAAAGAATAGAGGAAGAATCAATATGAAAAACAAATAACTTAAGTGAGAATAAGAGATGCCTTTGTGAGGGGGAAATATTTATGCAATATAAATATAAAAGACTGTGAAAACATGGAAGGTCACTATTAGATGTTGTATAAGGGGACTCTCAAACCACTATAATGGGAAATATACAGCAAGAGGAACAGATAATGAGTATAGAAAATGAATTGTGTATAGAATGATGGTTTAACCATATTGAGAGTAATTTAATGATTTATTAACCATTAATTAAGGGAGGACATCAAGGAATATATTGTAATTCTACTATAATGATTAGTAGCTTACAAAACACTCCCATTTGATTCTGTCATCTGATTTTATATAGGTTAGTACTTATATCCATTTTAGAGAGAAATAAACTGAGAATTACAGAGGATTTTGTGTAAGACACATGGTCAAGAAATAGAAGAAATTTGATTTAATTACATGTGTTCTGTAACAAATTTTGAGCATTCTTTGCTGCTTCTTGCTGTAGTAGATTAGTTCATTCACATTTTATGAAGAATAAGGATATTAAGTATTAAGAATAACCTGAAAACCCTGCTCTGGCTATGTCTTTTAGATATCACTCTCAAGTGATTGGAGTACCCCACCACATGAGCATTGCCTCTTACCTGCCACAAGCACTAATGTTTTAAAGTAACTAATTTTTTAAATCTATATGCAAGAAGGTCTTCCTTAGGAAGCACAGTAAGGTATTCTAGCCAACTACCACAGTCCTGATACTTCCAAAGTATTTACATCTCCAATCATCATTTAACCCACAAGTTGGCCAGCACACTCGGTGTCTGTTCACATTCAAGTGGAATCCTGTTGCAGATCCTAGAATGAAAGGACCAGGCAGTGGGCTAATTTTCCTTGTCCACCTACCTCTGTTTCCCTTTGTGCTCTACAGACCCAGCTGAGAGTCTGTCCAGGGGTGACCCAAAGCCAGGGAAGCTCCTCTTCTTCTTGGTCTCAAATACATCGTTCTCCAAGGACACCAGCTCATCTAGAAGCAGGAGCTTAGCTGCAAGGTCCGTGGCTGATTTCTCTTCCCTGCCTGTGGGTGGTGACTGCAAGCCTGCTGCTCCAAACTCAGAGGCCTACAGGGCAGAGAAAGGTGAGCTCATTCACTGAGACAAGGAAAAACAAGTAGGTACAAAACTGGCATTAGGCATTTTATAACACTAGATGACATGCCCATTGCTCATTTTATGATGCCTCGGGGTTGTGTTTTAGAAAGAAAGCTAGAATGTGAGGGCCTGGAACATACAGAAATGGAATATACCCAAAGAAGAGAAGACAACAACCCTCGGGCTTCTTTCTAAAATTTGACATATTTACTGATTGGTCTTTCATATTTAGCCCCAGAAACAGCAGCAGCATCCTTCCCTATCCACCGTGGAGCTATCCCTACACCTCTTTTCATCACTGCACTCATCACATTTTGCTTTAAATAATATCTGCTACAACAAATGTGTGTTTCTTATTAGGTGTAAGTAACTTGAGAGCCATGGCCTAAGCTTTTATTTCTTGTATTCAATGTCTACCCAGTATTTTTCTTATAGCAAAACAAAACAAAAAAATCTGAATTGTTTTTTACCTGAAAGCAAAAACCTTAATGTCATGCTATTTTACTTCCATGATCCATCCATTATCTATGTAAGCCACTAACACTCCATTGTATTCCACCTTCTGTTTTAGGTTAAAGGGATGCAAAAATAATCAAAATACTGTTTCTGTGCCCCAGGAAATTAATATCTCAGTCTATGTGATTTATTAAAAAGTATAAGCAATGTGAAGAGCTACCCTAATGATAATACTGTTACAGGCACATTTTCTCATTTATTTATCTGCTATGTATGGTTTCTCTTTGTATCTCATTCGTGTCATAAATGGATGCATGTTTGTGGTAGAAAGTCTTTTTTCCCTTCTGAAGTCCAGTAACAGAATTTAAGAAACTGCTCTTGTTAAACCCCAGACTCCTTTATTGTCAAGGCATATAACTTCTTCTGTTGTAAGTATTGAGCATCATTAACATGCTGTTAACCCTTAAAATTGAAATTAATTTTAATAATTTCTTATTGTAGATACCCTTGGTGCTGTTTATTTCCTCATGAGTTATCCAAAATAATAGGGTCACGGAGAGACTCAACTCCATAAGTGACAACTGATAAACTTTACTTTGGTTGCCTTGGAATAAAAAAGGATTATCAGTCAAAAGGCCAGCCAGACGACCCCTATTCAAGTAATTAACCACTGATGCCACAGAGGTGATTGGAGGAAGCTGTATGACCGTGGGAGCTGCTTGATGATGATGATCAGAAGCTGGGCTGAAATTTCCCTGCAATTATTTCTATTCAGGCCAGGAAAGTGGCCTAGCAGAAAGACTGTTGTAGCTGGTATAAAACTAGTAATGCCATGATTAGTGTAAACATGCCTTCATTTGCATGAAGATTTGCCGTAAATGGGCTGCATTTCTGGCTGTACAAGCAGGTAGCTCAGCGCACTGAGCTCATTTGGTAAGCTAGCCAATAGGCATGCATACTCCTGTGGCGTCTCCTCCTCGACCCATAGCAACATAAGGCTCAATGCAAAGCTTCTTCTCTCCAGCCTGATTTTGCTGTTATACAGGCAAGGCGGAGCTTCAGAAGCGGCTGGCTGACAGTTTCAGCAAGAGAAAAGCCAGGCTCTGGCAGCAGAGGGACAGCAGAGAGAGCGGCAGCAGAGGCACAGGGCGATGGCAGTTAGCTTCTCTGCAGTGGCAGCTGTGACAACAGCCACAGCAAACATGACTGGAAAGTTCTCCAACTGGAGAGCATCCAAGGCAGACACAAAACAAATGGCAGAAGTAAAGAGAAGGTGGGCGCGCGGTGGCGGTAGCGCATGCCTTTAATCCCAGGACTCGGGAGGCAGAGCCAGGCGGATCTCTGTGAGTTCGAGGCCAGACTGAGCTAGAGGGCGAGTTCCAGGAAAGGCGCCAAAGCTACACAGAGAAACCCTGTCTCAAAAAACAGACAAACAAAAAAAAGCAGAACGAGAGAGAGGGGGGGAGGAGAGGGAGAGAGGGGGAGAGAGAGGGAGCCAAGGCTGAAGGACAGAGAATTCGAAATAGCCAGAAAAGTAAAACTGGAGTCACCGGAATCACACCAGAGACATTTTGCAGGCCTTAAAGACCAAAGATTTCAGACACTTTAGAACCAGGAATTGTACCACTAGTCAAGGGCTGGGGATTCTGAACATCTTTGGGATGCACTGGGGCTGTAACACTTGCCACCTTAAGGAAAACATCCTAGCAGCTGTGACCTGCAAGGATGTTGGAACACAAGGGTCAGTCACCACTACCCTGGCCAGCTGCCTCTGCTACTGTCAGAAGCCAGCGGTCACAACCTGCACAGCATGGGAAAAGCTTCTCCTTGGAAGAACAAAAGGTCGTATTCTGACAAATGGGAATTAAGACATGTGAAAAGTGTTTTTATTCTACCAACTAATACAACATAAAAACTAGAGTTTTGTTTCCTATTGTAGTGAATGGTTTGGCCAAAACTACATAAAATTTGGCATGCCACCAACTTCACGATAACATTAAAACATGTTTGTAATAATAATAAATTAATTTTTAATGCTTTTTATTGTTTGAGGAATACAGATCTTACTATTTCAAACTTTTGAAGGTATCTAGTTAAGTCACATGATCTGAATTCTCTGAACTCAATAGTTATCATCATTTATATATTTAAAGTTTGTAACCTTGAATATCATTGGCGATGAGAGTAAGGTAACAGAAAAATGTTTATCTTTTTTTTTATTTTGTGTTCTTAAGACATTTCTTTGTTTGCTGTATCTTCTGGCTGAAGTAAAAACAGCTTATGTCTGTTAAAATATAAATATGACCATGTGTGCCTGTGTGAGTCTACAAGAGCGTGCGTGCGTGCGTGCGTGCGTGCGTGCGTGTGTATGTGTAGACCATAGGCTGGCATCAAGTATTTTTCTTTACCTTATTTTTTTAAGATGGGGGTTCTAGCTGAATCTGGAGCTCACTGATCAGGCTAGGCAGGCTAGCTTAAGCCCTAGAAGTTCTGTTTTCCCATTCCCAGCGTTGGAAGCATGGTGTCTGTTGCTTCAGCCAGCTTGCCTATGGATGCTGGGGATCTGAATTCAGATCCTCGTGCTTACTTGGCTAGAGTCTTACAGTTGAGTCATCTCCTTCGCCCTTGTATGTGACATCCTAAGTGGATTTCCATTACCTCTGTTGCTACGTCCACGGAGAATGCCTTTCCTGAGCTCCACAGCATCACAATCACTGCCAGGATGAAGTGTGCTCTCGCCAATCTCCGGTCCAGCATCTAGGCTCAGACACATCAGGGCTGATATTAATTAGTTAGAAATATAAAGGCAGAAAACAGAAGCTAAGGAGAAAGAAGCTTGTTAGAAGTGAAGCCATTCATGGCTATGTGCTGCAATGCATGCCTACCAACCTAAATAATGCCTACTAAAATCTGTCAGTCTCCTGTAATGAAGTGTCTAAAGGCTTCATTTCCATGAAAACATACATTGTATTTATATAAATCTAAATAATAATTTAATTAAAGCTAACCAAATATCTGAGAAATCATATCAGATAGCTTTATTTTGGGGATTGGAGAGAGATTACAACTTCGTATTGACAAATGGGACAAAAGAAAACATTGGGTCTCTGAACCAAAATATATGGTACACCTGAAAGCATTTAAATTAAGAAATTTGAAAACACTACACATTCAATAAGGTCATAACTTTATATTCTTGTGTTTGATGAGGATTCCTTAAGATTCAAAATGTGAATATGCTATTTTAAGTGTTAGAATTTAATATTCTAAAATTAAAAAATTCTGTATGGTGAGATTCAACAAAACAACAAAATCAACATAACAAAATCAAGAGACAAATTGCAATATAAGAGACACCTTTCTTTCTTTCTTTCTTTCTTTCTTTCTTTCTTTCTTTCTTTCTTTCTTTCTTTCTTTCTTTCTTTCTTTCTTTCTATCTATCTTTTTTCTTCCGAGAGAGTTTCTCTGTGTAGTTTTGGTGCCTGTCCTGGATCTCGCTCTGTAGACCAGGCTGGCCTCCATCTCACAGAGATCCACCTGGCTCTGCATCCCGAGTGCTAGTATTAAAGGCGTGCACCACCACGGCCCGACTGGAGACACTTTCAATAAGTACAAATAAGAAAAAAAGCTACCAGCTGGAACATATAATTCTGATAAGTCATATATAAAAACCAGACACTCAAATAAAGGAAAATAGGCCAAAGTCATGAATGGCTATTTCATAGTCAAGAGACAACACAGTGGGAAATAAATACCCAACAGAACAAATACCATAGTATTTTATACATATCACATTAAGAAGAAATTTTAGAGAAGTATTTGGAAACAAAATTACAGAAGTCTTGGTGAAGTGGGGACTGGATACAGTTGTTTGAGGAAACCTGGGCATGGAAGACGAGAAGAAAACAGTCATGTTCTAACAGCTGTATCTTTATCACACTTCTAGGTGTATAACCTTGAGAAAATTCTACATGCTAGTGAGGACACAGCTCTTGGAAAGTTCATCACCTCACTAGTTTTATTAGCAAATATTTAGAATCAGTTTTAAGAGAAGATAACTGGATTAACTCAGACATTCAAACGATGGGCTTAGAGTAAATGACTTAGATTCATATTTACTATTGAAACAGATGACTTTAGTGTTTATCTCTGGATGTGGATTTCAAAGAAATTCTTTTGGGTAGATAAGGAAATATAAAATATATACATGGCATAAAACATATATGTGTGTGTATGTATGTATGTATTTATATAGTGTGTGTGTATCTCAGTAGAACTTGATTCTTGATTTCTTAATTATGGTTGCCTCTGAGAAGGCGGAAAGAGAGGGAAAATGAATAAGATTTGGAAGAAACATAAGGAAATAATTTTTCAGAAAGCAAACACACAAGAGTATACTATCTTTATTAATTCTGAATACTAAGCAGGACAACATCATTTACAAATTTCAGAGCTTTTATATTAAAAGCACTATGCTGATAATTATGACTCATCCCTGATTCCATTAGGTTTGTTTCCTGTGGGTTTGACATGACCATCTTAAAATACTGCATAGTGAAGAAAGAGGCATTGCCCATTGAGGGAAGACGACAGGCTTGGAAGTTAATTTCCTTATAAACTATCTCTCAGAACATGCTCTGGCACAAAGAGAAAGGGACTTTGAATTTTGAAGAATGGGTTTTGAGTCTCACTTTGCTTTATTATTGCTGTGACCTTGAACAGGGATTATTTAACTCTCTTGAGCTTCAATTTTCCTATGTATGAGGTGAGAAGTAATTTCCTCATCAAAAGAGTTCCAGGAGGATGGAGTTGATTCACCCATAATGCATTATCTCATGCACTATTTATTTTTTGCACATGGAGGAACATCTATGTGGCATTATTCAATGTATATTTAGTACCTGCATATGTATTAATGTGTCCCCTAACTTTATACTTCCTTATTATTGCTGTAAAACTTAACTGTAGATTTTAGTAATTTGTGTTATATGCTACAACATGTATAGCAATTTTGCATAGGCAGAGTAACATCTCTATTATATGTGTTGGTTAAGATTTTAAAATGGAGAAAAATATCTCCACCACATCTACAACATTTGTTTTATCAAATGTAATAAAATTTGGCTTAAACTATTTGTTCATTATGACATTAATTACTCTGTTTTAGAGTCTGGTTACTAATATCAGTCACTAGCTCCTTGTCTGTATTCTACGATCTCTTGAAAAGAAGCAGTAATTTTTGTGTTCTCTGTTTGCTAAGTTGGTGTTGAGTTGAGATTTTCAGTGAGTATTGGAAAATGATAAATAAGATTATATTTTCAAATATAGAAAACAGATATTTTGAGAGAAGACAGTAGTGATCATTTGATTAAAATATCGACCAAAACTGTGTTAGCTTTTCCTTTAGAAAATCAGGCATTCTTTGTCCATATTTTTTTCTAATGATTCTGCTGATGCTTCTTTTACATTCATCTATACACAGGAAGACATTTTAAAAGCATAGCTGTATTTAAAAAATAATCTCATATTTCTTATATATCTACTTTTTAAAGTAACACTTTCGTTTAATCAAAGGTAAATTACAATTGTGATGTTCACCTTCCTTCATTTTTATTATGCTAAAAATAGTTTTTCCAAGTGCCAAATTGCCCTGTTTTACAAGTCTTTCCATGTGGATTTTCTTTAACTATTTTTACAAACATCTTACTAACCAAAGTTCCCTTCATGCCCACAGGCTTGTAAATGTAACAGAATGATGGCATTGGTAACACTGATGATGACTTCTGACACATGTATTTTGGAGCTTGGGTGTATATAGAAAAAACAGTTTTAATGTATCCTCTAACAGATGACCACATCCTGATCATTTGGATAGGGAGGTGTAAAAATAAACGCTGAGTTTAAATACATGTATTCAATGTCTTAAAGCTACGCTTGTACCCAATAAACCAACAAGCTGAGTTTCTAAATATGGTACCTTGTACACTAATATAAACAAGCACTCTGGCACCTGCCAAACAAGAGACATTTGATTAACTCATTGAAACTCGATTGCTACAAAATTAGAAACAGGGGAAATTATAGGGAGGACAGGAAAAGACCAGGTTTAGCCTCATTTCTCTATTTTGTTGATAGTGAATAAATATAACCCATGATTTAAAAATCTCCTAGGACCCAAGTGCTCTCTAAATCACAGAAGGAACCCTTAAAGAACATTCTTGGACTATATGAATTCACCAAAGCAGAAGTGCTTGCAAATTAAAAACAAAATCTAACACATTAAATTTTTCTTTCTTTTCTTTAAAGACATATAGCCAAGGTAGACTTGGACTCATAATTCTTCTGGTTGAGCCTCCCAAGTGCCAGGATTATGGGTGGAAAACACGCTAGCTTCCTCATTTTAACTGAGCTGCTTTTGAGTTATATTCCTTGGAGTAATAGAATTTCAAAACAGACAGAGGGCTTGGAATCATCCTTCCAAGATTTTGTATGTATTTTATTTGCAAGCAATAGGGCTATTCCATTTTATATACTATATTTTAGTATTCCTACATACTATTTATTATAATAAAAATTGTATAGTATATACTCCATGTTTTATGTTATATATTGTAATTGGGCTATTTAATACATCCAGATAAATAAACATTTCACGTTTTGAAATATCTGAAGCTGTGTTTTAGACTTTCCACATGTGACATCTTATATCTGGAAAGGACCCTCCAACCCAAGGCTGGAGTAGTAGAGCATGCGTAGATCCATATGGAGAGATACTAAGTGTTGTCATTCACAGTGGAGAAACAATACATATTATTCATTCTTTAAAACACAATGAACAGTGGAAGTCCGGCAGTGCCAAACTTGTCTTAATTTTGTTTGAACCCATTAAGAGGCAATTGATGTGAAGAAAGGCATTTCCATTTTATGAGTCAGTGAACAAAATCAGCAAAAGTTGCAGGGTAGGGAGCAAAAAGAAGGGCAATGGGGGAGGGGGAGCGGCCAGTCCATCATCTTCATGTTATAATGACTTGTAATGAAACGTTCTGTAAAATAGAGTAGCAAACGGGGAAGCCAAGGGAGCTGATGGCTAATCTGATGCACTTTTGAACTAATAAGACTCTTAAAATATCAGTGTTTGAAGGCCAATGTTGAAGTCAGCTCTTCTGGTGATTAAAGTTCTCTTCAGTTTCAAACTTTGTAATAATCAACTAACTTTCGGAGAGTTGGCCTAAACATTAAAAATTCACAAATGTACTAATTTTGTGGGTGAATTTTAGTATCATCTGGATTTTTTTTTCCAAGACAGGGTTTCTTTGTTTAGTCCTTGCTGTCTTGTCCTAAAACTGACTCTGCAGACCAGGCTAGCCTTGAACACAGAGATCTCCCTGCCTCTGCCTCCTGAATGCTAGGATTAAAGGTATGTGCCACCACTGCTCGCTGCATCTAGAAAATTTTAATTATATCTAATAACTAGATTGGAAACATTTAAACCAGAATCTATCTACTTTCAACAAGAATGAATTAAAAATTGAATAAAATCAGTTAAAGATAAAGGACTTAACTGGTTCAACTTACACCTTTTCTTAACCTCTTTCCACTGTGACAGATGACAAGCATTTACGAGGCTTAACATTTAGCCAATAAACACTAGCTCTGACCCCATGTGATGGCCAGTTGTGCCTTCCAACTCAACTGCTAATAGTTTTCTTCATCTGGAATGGCAGACACTCCTCAGGTAAAATGTGAGTGAGTACCAC